CACTATGTAGTTGAGACTGACCTGGAACTCACTATGTAGCCTAGGCTGGTCTCGAACTCACAGCGATCCTCCTGCCTCAGCCACCCGAATGCTGGGATTACAGGCATGTACCAGCACGCCCGTCTTAAAAGTAAATACTGTGGATGGAGTCCAGGGCCTCACCCAAATTGGGCATTTACTGGCACTTAACCCTAGTCCAAAAATAAATATTTAATTAGGAATAATGCTAAGACAAAGGACAACTGCCCTTTTCACTGTTATTTGCTCTAATGGTTCAAAAGCAATGCTGCTAGTGCCTTAGTATATGTTAAGGCAGTGTTAGATTCTCTTTTTTTTTTTCTCAGTTAGATTCTCTTGCCTCATCCTCCCAGAGTGTACTCATTCATAGTCATTACATTTGGGTCTCATGCATTCATGTGGACCAAAAAGCTGTTTCAGCCAGTCATGGTGGCACATGTCTATAATTCTAGTATTCTGGGTGTCTGAGGCAGGATAGGTTGACCCTATCCTGTACAGTTTAGCAACTTAGTCTGACTCTGCCTGGAAGGTACTGTGAATATAGCTCAGTGAGAAAGCTTGGGTTCAATCCCCATTACTGCAGAGAAACACTATCCTTGATGAACAGTGAAAATTATTAATTAAAAAATTTGATCCTTGAATATTTAAAAATATTTTGTGGGAAGAAAGGCATAAAGCAGGATGTATACATAAAGCACTTATACTGAATGCTGGAGTGTGTGGTTGTCTCAGAAAACTACTTGAATGGGTGTTTGAATTAGGAGCTGAACTGGGTTTTTTGTTTTGTTTTGTTTTTCCATGTAATACCTTTTTTGACTTTGAGACACAGGGTTGCCTAGGCCTTGTTGCCTAGTGATTTTTTACTGCAGCCTCCCAGAATGCTAGGGTTAGACATGCACAAACATGCCTGGCTATCTCTTGCCACTTGAAACTCTTGAATCACATTTTACAGTTTTCTTAGAGATTCTTTTACATTTTAATGTTATATGTAAGTTAGATTTAGCATTATAAAGTCTTGCCCACATAAGTTTTTTTGTTTTTTTTTTTTTGGTACTGGGGATTGAATTCAGGATCTTGAGTTTAAGAGGCAGGTGTGGTGCCACTGAGCTAAATCCCTGGCCCCCACATGAATTTTATGTAGCCCTTTATTTTCTTTCTCTCTGTTGGAATATTGTAATGCAGATCCTGAACCTGCCATTTTCCCGTTACATGCTTCAGTATACTTTTGTAAAAACAGGATAAGTGTTTGTAAGATGACAGTGCCATTGTTAGTCTGCAAAATCAGTAAGTTTCCCTTATTGTCTAGAAAATGCTGTATGGTGGCTGGAGTACAGTGCTTGACTAACAGGTATGAGGCCGTAGGTTGCATTCTTTGCTCTGCCAAGAAAAAAAAAGCTCTATTGCTTGGTTTGGATTAGGATCCAGACATGGGCCACCCATTTCATTTGGTTGTTTTGCTTCTCCTTTTTTTGTTTTGTGGCACTGGGGAATCTAGAGAATGCTGAGCTACATGTACAGCTTTATAATTTTTTAATTTTTTGGTACTGGGAATTGAACTCAGAGCTTCATGCTTGCCATTGAGCTACCTCCATCCCTGGTTCTGTCCAGCTCTTTATAGAAGAGAGCTTTAGGGCCGGGGATTTAGCTCAGTGGTTCCACCGCCTGCCTCAAAAGCACAAGGACCCGAGTTCAGTCCCTGGAAGCAAACAACAACGACAAAACAATAAAAGAGAGCTTTTACTAAGTTGTTCAGGCTGCCCTTGAACTTGCGATCTTTATGCTTCAGCTTTGCAAATAGCTTGATTACAGGTGTGCACACCACACACTGCTTGCTTATTAGTATTTTTAGCTTTTACAGTTTCCTTTTTGATTTTCATGTTGACTATAGAAACTGAGGCAATTTTTCTGTATAGTATCCAGTAGTCTGGAGTTGTCATTTGTGCTTTTGTGTGTCTCTTTAAACTTATGTTTTATCCATTTTACTGTAATTGTAAATATAACCTAGTTACCCATATGGTAGCTGTTTGGCTGTATGTGGCCATTTTTATTAAATTTTGGTTCATTTTATAAGGCGCTAGTGTCCACCATATAATCTTGGTTAACAAGATTATAGAACCTTTCTTTTGTCACAGAAAATTAAGTTTGACAGTGCTATTTTGATTAGGGTTAAGTCTGTTTTTGTTGGCAGAATACTTCCTAGCTGATGCTTTGGGGTTCAGGTGATGGCAGCTTGGTCTCTTCATTCATATTTTGCACAAGATTTTCACTTTATGAAAACAGTTTTGGCCAGGCATCGTGGCACGTGCTTGTAATCCTAGCACTTCAGGAGGCTGAGGCAGGAAAATTGCTGCGAGTTCAAGGCCAGCTTGGGCTATTTAATGAGTTCAAGGCCAGTCTGAACTACAAAGTGAGATCCAGTCTCAAACATAGAACCACAAAACAAGAGTTTTGTTTCTGAATTGAAGGTTATAATGAATATTTGAGAAAAGGTATAATTTTAATATGTTCATGACAGGCCATAATTTCATGTCTCACTGCTGGGCATCTCTGACCTATGGTGATACATGCGTCACTGCCCCCTTGGGCAGTATGGGACAGTCCTGTTGGGTTGTACAAGCAGCCTGATTGGATAGTTACGCATGTACCAGGTGGATCAAGCTGGTGGGAATATGTTAAAAGTTCAGCATTTGGTTAAAAAATTGACAAGAAACATGTTCACACCAAAAACTTGTACACATATTTTCACAGAACCATTATTCATAATAGCCAAAAAGCTGATGCAACCAAACTGTCTATCAGCTGGTAGATAATTTTTAAAAATTTATATGGGCTGGATGTGGTGGCACATTCCTGGAATCCCAGCAGTTGGGTTGCTGAGGCAGGAGGCTCATTGGAAGTTTGAGGCCAGCCTCTAGGTGTCATAGTAGTTCAAGGCCAGTCTGAACCACATAGTATGACCCTGTCTCAAAAGACAGGAACAAAAAAGTGTGTATCTGTATAATGGATTACAATTGTTTATTTATTTATTTTTTGAGACTGGGTCTTATTGTGTAGTTGAGACTGACCTGGAACTCACTGTGTAGCCCAGGCTGGTCTCAAACTCACAGCAGTCCCCCTGCCTCAGCCTCCCAAGTGCTGGGATTACGGGCATGCACCACTACGCCCAGCTTTTTCCAGCCCTTTCTTTTTTATCCTGGTACTGGGGATTGACCTCAGGACCACATTGTGCTTTTTGAGGCAGGCACCACTAAGCTAAATCCCAAGCAAAAATCCCAGGCAAAACCTCTTTTCTTCCTTTTTTTAAAAAAATTTTGAGACAGAGTCTTGGCTTGGACATGCATTAGCCTCCCAAAATTCTGGGTTTGTGGACATATGTCACTATGCCAGCTAGAAGGGTGAATCTTATGTGCATTATATCTGACTTTACGAAACCAATAACTAGGAAATACAATTGACTTTTTAAAAAAAATGTTCATAAGAGGAGAGTATAATGGTCATTGTTTTATGATGAATAAATTGGATGGTTGGCTAGAAGCAAGTTTACTGTTTAGCAATAAAAAATATTAATGCCACACACATGCACTGATAGTCCCAGTAACTTAGGACAGTGAGATTGGAGGGTCACTTGAACCCAGGAAATCAGGAGCAATTTGGTAGAGAGTCCATCTCAAAAGAAAATCATTTTAATCATTGAAGACTTAAAAACCTTTTTTTCTATATGAGGTATGTAAAAGAATGTGCCAAGAAAATGGGTGTGGTAGTACACGTATACTTGGTAGGGCTGAGGCAAAAGGTTCAAGACTTGCAGACTAGCCGAGTCTACACAGATTCAAGGCTAGGTTGGACTAATAAGTTACTATCTAAAAAGAATTTAGGGCTGGGGATCTAACTCAGTGGTTCTGGCGCTTGCCTCTTAAGCGCAATGTCCTGAGTTCTCTGGTACAAAAAAAAACAATTAAAAAAAACAATTAGAACAAATCTTAATGAGAAAAAGAAACCATTAGCTAGTCAGTGCTTTTTAATCAGAACATGAATTAAGTACTAGAATAGGATTGAATGGCTGTCAGTATGCTGTACTTTATATAAAAGTTTGTTTTAAAAACCACAGATAAAAGTAAATGTTCCCAGCACTCAGGAGGCTGAGTCAGGAGGATCGCTATGATCGAGACCAGCCTGGGCTACATAGTGAGTTCCAGGTCAGTCTCAACTACATAGTGAGACCCTGTCTCAAAAAAAAAAAAAAAAAAACCACATACACACACACACACACACACACACAAAAGTAAATGGTATTCAACTGCATATTGATTTTCATTTTCAACTTCTTTCCTTCAGGATGATACGTATACAGAAAGCTACATCAGCACCATTGGTGTGGATTTCAAAATAAGAACTATAGAGTTAGATGGGAAAACAATCAAGCTACAAATCGTAAGTGGTTGTTGGTGGAAGTTTTATTGATAAACTTAGAATGTATTATTTATATATATATGTAATATGCTAACAAAAATTGAATACAAAAGTTCTTAAAAATAAGGCATCTGGGCCGGGAATTTAGCTCAATGGTGCCACCGCCTGTCTCACTTACGGAGTTTAATCCCTGGTACTAAAAAAAAAAAGTGAGTTGTCTTTTGGGTGTTTGTGGTGCACACCTGTAATTCCAACACTTGGAAAGCTGAGGCAGGAGGGTTATGGGGCCAGCCTGGGCTATATGGTGAGTTCAGGGACAGCCTGAAAACTACATAGTGAGATCCTGTCTCAAAAACAAAACAAAAAAAAACCAATCAGGCATCTTTGATGGAACGATAGAATATCTGTTTAGACTAAAAGTAATTTCCTAGGATTGCTTTCCTCATTGAAAAATTTTCCTCCTTCCTTCCCTCCCTCTCTCCCTATTATTTGGACTATGCTGGGGATTGAATCCAGGGTCTCTTATGTTAAGCTTGCACTTACCTCTGAACTGTATCTCATTGAAATTTCTTCTTGAAGCAGACATAGTCATGTTTTAAGTCAAACTTGGTTCTATTCTTTTTTTTTTTTTAAATGAGTAGTTGTGAGTTCAAGTTTGCCTTAAAGTGTTGTTGAGTATTTTTTGTCTTTTACTGTGCTGATTACTTTGGAGCATTAGAAGTAACTGAAGAGAGACTCTTTCTGTGTAGCTTAGTTGAAGAAAACATATTTTTTCAGGTCTTTTAAACATTTTTTTTTTAAGATACTGTGTAAATCTTTTTTTTTTTTTTTTTTTTTTTTTTTTTTTTTTTTTTTTTTTAACTGAGGCTCAAACTCGGGTCCTTGCGCTTGCAAGGCAGGCAGCAGAACCACTGAGCTAAATCCTTGCCCCCTTAGCAAATCTTTAAAGACAGAATTTTCTGGGGAGAAAACTTTTGTTTTTTGTTTGTTTGTTTGTTTTTAATGTAATCATTTCACTGTGAGAAATTTAGTGATTTGGCTTAAGTTACTGGGAGGGCCACATGACCCATATCTGTCTGTCTTCAGTATGTGGTATCCTTCCCCTTTATCCATCCTTATATCCCCAACCCCTAATTAAATATAGGCAATTGTAAGTTGCGATAGTTTAATTGCATCTCTTTAATATGACTATGGGTACTGCCAGTGTGTGGTCATATGTGTGGTGGTTTTGAAAAGAAAAATCTCAAGAAAAAAAATCTCAACTGGGCATGATGGCATGTACCTGTAATTCCAGCTGTATGGGAGACTAAGGCAGGAAAATGCCACGTGTGAGCCCAACCTGGGCAACACAGGAAGAATCTATCTCAAAAATAAAGTAAAAAAAGTAAGACATGGTAGTGTACTTGTGTAATCCTAGCACCTAGGAGGCTGAGGAGGGAGAATTGTCATGGGTTCAAAGCAACCTGGGCTAGTAAGTTCAAGGCCAACTACATAACAAGAACTTGACTCAAGACTCAACCCCCACCCCCCACAAAAAGGTGAGAGGATTGAGTTCAATGTCAACCTAAGCAGTATAGTTGCTGTGTCTCAAAGAAAAAAAAATTACTGAGATTGAGATGGGTTCTCACTGTATTGCCGGGATGGCCTCAAACTGCAGTCCTGCCTTAGCCTCTTGAGTAGCTGGCATTACAGGTGTATGCCATTGTGCCTGCCTCTCAGTAGGTTTTAGAGTGGGCTGTAAGTATGAGATAACATAGGAAACCAGTAACTGCTCTTTTTATGGAACTGACACTACACTGAACTGGAAGGAGTCATGAATTTGGAGTCAATGATTCAGATTTAGTTCTGGTATTTACTTGTTAAGATAATCATAAATTTAACTTAAACATACTTTCTCCCTAAGACTTAGTTTTCCTGTAAAATGAATATGATGACATTTGATTTACTAATTTACAAGATAATTATGAGAATCAAATTAAATAGTTATGTATATGATATTATATGAAAAACCCATGTGCTACAATGCTTAGCTTTTACATAGTTTATTTTTCATACTGAGTTAAAGCCAGATTAATTCCTCTTCTACTGCTGCCTGCCCTTTTAGGTTGACCTCATTACAACCTTTCTTCTGCATCTGAGCTTGGTGCCTTGAAGCATGTTTTTGGAAAGCTTTTGCAATTTGGGTTACCCTGTTGCATTTTATAAGTGTTAAAATGTGACAGTACATGAGGTTGAATGGGTGAGGTGTTGCACACCTGTAATCCCAGCACTGGGGAGGCTGAGGCAGAAATATTACCTTGAGTTTGAGGCCAACCTGGGTTACATTAGTGAGTTCAAGGCCAGCTTGAGCTATCTAACAAGACCCTGGTTCAAAAAATAATAACAAAAACATGAAGTAAATCCTCGCAATTTCAACTCTAAATTATTTTCTTTTTAACATTGAGCCATGTGTGATGGCACACACCTGTAATCTCTGTTCTTGGGAGGCTGAGGCAGAAGGATTGCTGGGAGTTAGAGGCCAGTTTGGGCTACATAGTGAGTTCAGGGCCAGCTTAAACTACACAGTGAAACCATGTCTCAAAAAACCAAAACAAACAAAAGATTATCTCAGCTTTAGGGGCTCAATGCCTCTTATTAACCCACCAGAGAATATTAAAGCCTGAGTTTACATTTAACTGTTTCAATAGCTATGTTACCTAGTAGCCATATTATATAGTAGTCTGCGTCTTCCAATTTTGATTTGCTTGTTTTTAATTAAAAAAAAGAGGTCTTGGGCTGGAGATTTAGCTCAGTGGTTCCGGCGCCTGCCTTGCAAGCACAAGGGCCCGAGTTGGATCCCCAGTACCAACAAAACAAAACAAAAAAAAGAGGTCTTACACTTCAGTGACTGGTGTTTTAAAGAACTAAATGTAAATTTTACATGTAACCTTATCACATGTCATCTTCCTGGCTTCATTTGCCTCTAAGTATTCTAGGTCCTTCACAGTTTTGATTTTGTAGATTTATATTTTAATTGTTTTATTTTCAGTGTTCTATTCAGTTGTGATATTTGAATGTTTATCCAAGTTAGTGATTATAAAACACTCAAGAAGGTAGGGCACATTCAGAGTCCAGTGGTACACAATGAAAGGCCCCTTTTTGTGATTGTTCTTTTAGTCATGAAACATTTATAGAATGCCTACATTACACCAGGCACACAGGTAGAATTGAGATTATAAATAAAGGAAGACCCAGTTACGAGGGAGAGTACTAGTACTATTGCTGGGATAGTGAGTCAAAGTTTTTGAGAGTGGCAAAGGAACATGAGATATTCTACTCTGGATGCTGTTTCGTAGCTTTAGTTAGCTGAATGTTAACTTTTAGTCACAAAAAAATTTTTTTTCCATGGGCTGTTTTGGAAATGAAAGTTCTTGGACAGAGAAGGAAATAAACATTTTATTGAGCAGCTTTTATAGTCAGGCACTGTTAGGTATTTTACAAACATTAATTTAAACCTCCTGAACAGTTGTATGAAATGAGTTGTGTATGGTTTTTAGCTGAAGACACTGGTAGGTGATTCCCTAGTGTTAAGTAAGCAGGAACAATGAAATCTCTGACCTTTTGAAGTTAGGTGGGCTTGTGTCTAGAGGCCATGCTTCTTCAAGGATATCTGGAAAGACTAAGGTTCCTCAATGGTTAACAGTAGATCTAAAAGTCTTCTGAGCTCTCTGGCTCAGGCTCAGTCCCAGTAACTTACACAAAAAAAGAAATGATACCTGTGGTGACTTACATGTTTATTTTTTATTAATGATTTCTTTATTGTTTGTTTGTTTTTTTGAGACAGGGTCTCCCTATGTAGTTGAGACTGACCTGGAACTCACTATGTAGCCCAGGTTGGTCTCGAACTCATAGTGATCCTCCTGCCTCAGCCTCCCAAGTGCTGGGATTATAGGCATGCGCCACCATGCCCAGTTTACATTTTTATTTTTTAGATGATTGTTACGTTAATCTTTTAGATTATTTGCTTCATTATATCTTTTTCCCCTCTGGAGTAGAGTATGCTACTTTACAAATGTTGTGATTTTCATAAACAGTATGTTTATGCCTTTTTTTTTTGAGTGGGGATTGAACCCAGGGAACACTGAGGTACATCTGAACCCTGTTTTACTCCTTTGTGGTTTTTGTTTGTTTGTTTGTTTTGGTTTTTTGAAACAGGTCCCTAGCTATGTATTTCAGGCTGGCCTTGAAGTTGCAATGATCCTGCCTCAGCCTCCAGAGTGCTAGGATTACAAGTGTGTACCACCATGCCTGGCTTTTTGTTTTATTTTGCGATAGTCTTACTGTTTAGTTCATGCTGGATTTGAGCTCACTGTGTAGCCTAAGCTGGCCTAAGATGCATAGTCTCCTGCCTCAGGCTGAATGCTGTGATTACAGACCTGGGCCACCACACCAGGTTGCTTCTTGTTTTTGTGAAACTGAGGATTGAATACAGGGTCTTACAGTATATACTAGGCAAACGCTGTACCGCTGAGCTACATTACAGGTCCAGCTTTAGCAGTGTCTTTTAATGGGGCAGTAACTATTCTGACTGATAAACTTGTAAGAAGATATCATTGTTTAGTAAAACCAACATATTTAAGTTTAAGGGCTGGGATTTAGCTCAGCAGTTCGGTGGCCTGCCTTGCAAGCGCAAGGACCCAAGTTCAATGCCCGGTACCAAAAAAAAAAGTGAGTTTGATTCATAGTATTTAAACAGTCCTTTTAATTTGTTTAGAGACAGGCTCTGACTGTATAGCCTCAGGATGGCCTTGAATTCTGTTCTTTTGCCTTGCCTCATTGCAGGCTTATGCTACCACACCTGTTAGGGTTTTGTTTGTTTTTTGGTTTGTATTTTTTTAAGGCATTAATGTAGGTAGCTTTTCATTGCTGAGAGCAATACCTGAGAAAAAGAGCTTAGAGGAAAGATTTATTATGGCTCATGGTATTTCAGTCCATGGTCGATGACACCATTGCTTTAGGTTTGTGGTGAGGCAGAAACATGGTTTGGAAGGAAAGCTACTTTGTACCTAAAACAAAGGAAGTGGTTTAAAGAGCCTGAAAGGAGCTGGGCACCAATAAAGTCTCGTAGGTTATTTTCCCATCCATCCACCCACTCCCTGTTTTCCTTCACCTCCCAATAATGTCATCAGATTACCTTCTCATAATCCTCTGAAGTTAGAGTCTTGTGATCCACTCACTTTGGTTTGTTCTTTTGGTACACGGGGTTGAACTCAGGTCTTTGAGCTTGTGAGGCAGGCGCTATTGCCGCTGGGCTAGATCCTCGGCCCAATCCAGTCACTTTGAAAAAGCTCAACAGTGACCATGCCTACCAAACAGTGAGCCTTTGTGTGGGGGCATTGGATCCCAACTATAACATATACTAAAGGAGCCGGGTGTGGTGGCGCATGCCTGTAATGCCAGCACTCAGGAGGCTGAGGCGGGAGGATTGCTATGAGTTTGAGACCAGCCTGGACTACATAGTTCCAGGTCAGTCTCAACTACATAGTGAGACCCTGTCTCAAAAGAAAACAAACAAACAAACATATACTAATAGAAGCACTTGTTATATGGATGTTGGAGTCTAAATTAGGTTGAAATATAGTAAGTTGTTCTTAAATTAAGTTTATAAAGGTTTGGAATTGTCCTCCTGTTATTTTTCTCTACAATTATGATAATGCCCTGCTTCTGGCTTCACAAGCTCAAGGACCTGAGTTTGATCCCCAGTACAAAAAAAAAGGTAATCCCCCTTGAGATGGTGAAAGTGTTATCTTGATTGGTAGCGACACAAATTAGATCCTTTCATTGCTTCCCAAGCTATGCTAGCCAGTAGGCTAGCCAGTAACTTCCCTAACCGAGATGATCTGTTTTTGCATTCATAATGAATGCCTAGCATGATGTTAAGTGTAGGTAGGCAATATGAAAAGCCTGGCATAGTTCTCTTCTCAAAATATCTTACAATTTTCGGATCTTTACCACCAGCTAAATATTAAGTAGGTGTTAACTTTTTTGACTTTTAGGTATTTGGCACTTATCATGCAGTTCAGTATTGTGAGTATTAAGGGCCATTTCTGTATGAAATCTTGATAATCTCCGCAACTATGAAAACTAAAATTTTTTCATCACTTTTCTCCAACTCTAGTTTATGAATTGTTTGGTTTTCTTGATTGTTTTACAATAGTGGGACACAGCAGGCCAAGAAAGATTTCGAACAATCACCTCCAGTTATTACAGAGGAGCTCATGGCATCATAGTTGTGTATGATGTAACAGATCAGGTAAGTTCCGAGAAGATTATTTTTTTTCCATACTGGGGATTGAACTCAGGACTTTATGTTTGTGAGGCAGGCATGTAAATCTTTGGCCCTCCATTAATAATATTTTTATGGCAGAAAACTTTGTTTACCCTCCAAATACAGCTATGAATCACATAAAAGCATTTTCCTTTAGTAAACAGAAAATTTAGTAATGAGGCTTACCTTTGATCAGGGAACTCTTATTATCTTTAAGCATTAACAAGAATTTGCCTGGTCATTAGTATTTTCCTATCAGAACTGCCATAAGTGCACCAGGCTTGGTGATGTACCTGTAATCTCAGCACGTGGGAGGCTGGTGCAGGAGAATAGGAAAGTTTTGGGCCAGACTAGACTACATAGTGAGACCCTGTTTCACAGAAAACCAAACCTAAACAAAAATAGTAAGCTGCATTTACCTTTCAAATACAGCATTTTCGTCTTCATTCTTCACATTTCATCAAGAATTCTAGCTCATTGTGAGTCACTCCTTTCCTTTTACATAATTTTGGAGTCAGTCTTCTCATTGGCTCTGTGTGCTTCTGTGTTATCACTTGATCATTAGAGAAGTTGTGTCCAGAACTGCATTATTTGTAAAAATATCTTGTCTTTTAGGAGTCCTTTAATAATGTCAAACAGTGGCTGCAGGAAATAGATCGTTACGCCAGTGAAAATGTCAACAAGTTGTTGGTAGGGAACAAATGTGATCTGACTACAAAGAAAGTAGTAGACTACACAACAGCAAAGGTATAGTTGTTTTGATAGTTTGATTTTTTTTTCAAACTGAATTTGAAGATACACACAACCAAAGGTATAGTTGTTTTGATAGTTTGATTTTTTTTTCAAACTGAATTTGAAGGTGTTGAATTCTAATTTTGAATACATATGGAATCCTGTGATGGCAATAACCACCTTAACTTAAAAAGATGTGTAGGAGAATACTTTGACAGTGACAATTCATGTTGTGTCTATTTGGCTCCAGTGAACCTAGTCCTTCCTCAGTCCTATTTCAGATGGTAGAAACAGACTACCTGAGAAAGATTTTTCAATGTTCATCATGTTTTATTATTCCCTTAGGAATTTGCTGATTCCCTTGGAATTCCATTTTTGGAAACCAGTGCTAAGAATGCAACGAATGTAGAACAGTCGTTCATGACAATGGCAGCCGAGATTAAAAAACGGATGGGCCCTGGAGCAACAGCTGGTGGCGCAGAGAAGTCCAATGTTAAAATTCAGAGCACTCCAGTCAAGCAGTCAGGTGGAGGCTGCTGCTAAAATTTGCCTCCGTCCTTTTCTCACAGCAATGAATTTGCAATCTGAACCCAAGTGAAAAACAAAATTGCCTGAATTGTACTGTATGTAGCTGCACTACAACAGATTCTTACCGTCTCCACAAAGGTCAGAGATTGTAAATGGTCAATACTGACTTTTTTTTATTCCCTTGACTCAAGACAGCTAACTTCATTTTCAGAACTGTTTTAAACCTTTGTGTGCTGGTTTATAAAATAATGTGTACAATCCTTGTTGCTTTCCTGATACCAGACTGTTTCCTGTGGTTGGTTAGAATATATTTTGTTTTGATGTTTATATTGGCATGTTTAGATGTCAGGTTTAGTCTTCTGAAGATGAAGTTCAGCCATTTTGTATCAAACAGCACAACCAGTGTCTGTCACTTTCCATGCATAAAGTTTAGTGAGATGTTATATGTAAGATCTGATTTGCTAGTTCTTCCTTGTAGAGTTATAAATGGAAAGATTACACTATCTGATTAATAATTTCTTCATACTCTGCATATAATTTGTGGCTGCAGAATATTGTAATTTGTTGCACACTATGTAACAAAATAACTGAAGATATGTTTAATAAATATTGTACTTATTGGAAGTAATATCAAACTGTATGGTGATAAGTATTGTTTTAATTCTTACGGTTAAAGGGAAATAGCATTATACTCAAAACAGCCATTTGTGTGTGCAGCCAGGGAATAGTAGGCCAATAGTGCATTATCCAGTATTTGCTTTCTAGCTAATAGACCTGATAAATGACCTAGGGAGGCATCTGTGCTGTTAGGCATTTAACCAACTTCCAGTAGTTCATTGAGCTCAAGTTGTATGGAAAACAAGTTTAAAATGTATACTTCTCGCATATTTGATTTTTCTCTAAAACCATTTGAAATGGCCTCAGTGGTCAGCATTTTATTAATTCATCTGTTAGAGGTGGAGAGTACACCTTAACTGGCAATCGATCAATCATAAGGTATGCTCATAGTTCTTCTATGCTGAGTCAAGATGTCAGCTTTTTCATCCTTCACAAGGGTAGGATTCATGTTAGAGGATAGTTTATGCATTAAAGTAAAAAGTGGGAAACGGGGCTAGGGATATATCTCAGTGGTAGAGGGCCTGCCTGACGTGGCAGGGCCTGGAGTTCCCAGCACAATATAAGGCAGGAAACTTTATTGCCCCAATATTATTTATTTTTTTGCCCCAATTTTAGACATTATATCCCTGAAAATTAACCAAAACAATGCTAGGTGGGAATTATAAATGCAAGATCAATGTTTTGGCAAAATTCTTGCATGTATGTGAAAATTGTGTTGAACAGAACTGTCAGGATCCTGGGGTTTTTATTTTATTGTGAGAAACTTAAAAACCTGTTGCTGACACTGGCATTTTAAAGTGGCAGAGGTCAAAGATTTCCTTGGGTGAAGTAGCAGTCACAACATTGACATGGGTGCTTGAGGTATGGCTGTTAGCAAAACACACTTTGTTGTGTGGGGGGGTCTTTAATGAGAAAATTTTTAAGTTAACAAGCCAAAAATTATAGTTTTCTTTATTTTTCACTAAACAGGCAATTGAAATACATGGTACAAAAATAAGTGGTAAGATTATTGTAAAATGAAATGAACAGAATATTCAATTTAATTTTCCATCTATGAGAATTTCACAATAAAATCATAGTTTACTTTGTATTATAGACGTGCTTGTTGGATCTATTCATCCTTATATAAGGCAACTGACAAATTCCTGAAGTCACCAATAGCTATTTGGGTTTTCTTCTTAAATGCTTAAAAAAATTTTTTTTCCCTTTTATCAATACAGTATATAAGGGGGGAGAGAATTTACAAACTGTTTTCTAAAGTAGCTAAATGACTCAGAACAAGTATCAAGTGGGAGGAGGGATGCTGTGCATTTTAGAATTATACAGCAAAAGTTCACACTGTCAGCTTATTCTTGACAAGTTATCAGAAAATATTACACGAGTATTTTGATATGTGAGCATATTTACATACTTTGGAAAATCTTAGTGTTCCTTCCTAGTGGCAGTCAAAATTAGGACAACATTTCAGCATACTTCACTATTTGCTTTTATGTATATTCCAATAAATTCATTTTTGAAAAAATATATTCCCCCTCTAGCCCCATTTTCAAGTATAAACATTTCAAGGCTGCCATGGTCTTTAACCAGTTCACATAATAAAGAGAATTATCACTTGTTAAGTTTTAAATGTAAGTGGTTGGCATAATTCAGTTTACATAATGAATGTTCAAAGCAGGGGCAAACTCTGGGAAATCCTTATAGAAGGAAAGCCATAGTGGGCTGAGCACTAATTTCCTGTTCTCTGAACTTGGATAGAAATTTTAGCATATACACTGCCATTCCACGGTATCTTACATCAACCTTTGTGTTCCCACATAAATTTCAAAACTGCCCTTCATTGTTAAGTCCCTTATTTGCTAGAGCTTAGCTTGTAAGAACTCAGTCTTGAAATTGCTTGCCTTTAGTTTTGCCACTTCCCTCTAGATATAAATTCCATTAATTTTAAGGGATTACTAAGAAATTTTATTGTAGTATGGCACACCACAAGGTGCCAACCTGCTTGGCTACTTAAATCTAACCTGGCAGTGTTTGCTGATGGAAATGCTACTGGCAGCATCTTCCTAGGGTGAAATAATTTTTGCTTTGAGTTTTAAGAGAGGTTTCAAACTATGCATAGCCGAAGATGTAATTAACAGTCTTGTTAATACTCCTGTGGCATTTACATCCAGCTTCAAAGAGCACTCTATATAGTCCATCTTATTTCAAACAAGATGAACAAAAATATCAGATCCTCTAGATAAATTGAAAACTCCCTGTCACTTGAAGCTGATTATTACTGCATTGAGTGGGAATAAGAATACCACATTCTACATTCAATTGTTGTAATATTAGCCAGTTTGTTTCCATGAGGTTATCTTCAAAAATGCCATTTTCTTTCTTTTGGTACTGGGGATTGAACTCAGGACTTTGCACTTGCCAGGCAGGTGCTGTACCACTCAGCTAAATCCCCGGCCCAAAAATGACATTTTCATCCTTGTCAAGTGGGTTTAATTCCTACAGGCTGTTCCAACACACTCTGGAAAGGCATGTTCCAGTTGTAGCTACATCAGCTGTATCAATTTGAGAATAGCGGCCATTACGCATACCTGCCTTTTAAACCAATTCTAGACTTTAAATACTACAATTATTGTGTGTGAATATGCACACGCACGCGCGCGCACGCACACACACACACACACACACACACACAATTATTTGCCAGGGAGATTTTTTTTTTCCCCCTTAAAAAAGTCTCATCATTTAAGATTAATACGAGGTTGGGCCGGGTTCTACCTCCTGCCTCGCAAGCGAAAGGTCCTGAGTTTGATCCTCAGTATAAAAAACCAAACCAAACAAAAAAACCCAATAGTATGAGATGGCAGAACCATAAAAGTCTAATTCTGAAGTGCCCTTAAATTTACGGTTAATCCACATTATGCTACAGGCACTTGAAATACTGCATTTTATGCGTAGCTACTCCTGAAAGCCAATTTAAATATTAGAATTTAACAGCTAGTTCCAGTGTCTAAAGTCTAAGAAATTTTGAAGCAAAAAAATATTTAATGAAACTTTAGATGCTGCTGTTAATGTATTTTGCTTCCTTTTTGGTATTCAAAATCCAAGAACTCTTAAAGTGCTTTTTTTTAAGTGTGTGGAATCTTCAGTTGTTACCAAAATTGCTTTGCTTAAAAAAATTTAGAGAATTGATGCTTTAAATGATTGATCCACACATTTTTTTCTTTTGACAAGGTACTTAACTCATACTTCTTTGCTCCTGACAGCTTTAGTTTCTGTAGTCTTGTTTTTTTTGGTTTTTTTGAGACAGGGTCTCACTATGTAGTTGAGTCTGACCTGGAACTCACTATGTAGCCCAGGCTGGTCTCGAACTCACAGCGATCCTCCTGCCTCAGCCTCCCATGTGCTGGGATTACAGGCGTGCACCACCACACCCAGCATTAGTTTTTGTAGTCTTCCAAGGGAGAACAGAAAGGATGGATGAGTTCTTCCAGAATCACCATTAGCCTATTTAATTAGCTCCATTACAAAGCTGAAGTACAACATCAGTTTTCCAACGTCCTGACACACAGCCCCCCAACTGGGGATCTAACTCAGGACTGAACTTGGGACCTCGAGCTTCCTAGGCAGATGTGGTGCCACGGAGCTACATCCCCAACCTTTAAGGTATCAATTAGGCGGAAGGTGGAGCCCTCAGCCATGAAGATAGCAATGTTATCTATCACCTGTGCCCAGGTTCTACTCCCTTGCCTGTTTCCTTCTGCAGATCTGTGGCCAAAGTCTCTTCTAAAAAATATCTTCAAAGAGGAAATTTAAAACCTAAGCCTTTCTGAAAAGACCCAAGGCTTCTGGCCAACCAACCGTTTTTTCAGTCTCATGAGTCCCCTTCTATGCCTGAGAATGCTGTACTGTATTTGGAATCTTTTATTTATTTTTCTTGGTACTGGGGATTAAACTCAGGCCCTTTGCTTTCGTTTGAAAAAAGTGGGTTTTTTTGTACCAGGGATCGATTATAAATGGGGTATTGGCACTTGCCCATCGTGTAAATTGGTATACTATGAGGCAGGTGCCTTTTTTTGTACCAGGAATTGAACTCAGGACCTTGCACTTGTGAGGCAGGCGACAACACTACTGAGCTAAATCACTAGCTTTCGTTTGTAAGGCAGGCGCAGCACCACTGAGCTGAATCCCTGGAATCTTTCTGAAAGCAGTCTTCTGGCTATGACCTCAACAGGTGGAAGAGTTAAGAGCTTTGTCCACAATTCTTTTTTTAACTGAAAAGAAAAGACCTCTAGATCTTAACTATTTTATCAAAAATTGCAAAGCCACATGCTTTTTATAGAGAAGCACCAAAAGGAAAACCTTAAGTCTGGAAGGATTCACTGTAAAAAGAAATAGTAACTACACCAGCCCTTACTTGTACAAGAGAAAGGCATTTTAAAGCTAGTACATTAAAGTTTCCTCCTTAATTTAACTATTAAGTGATTCTTGCCAGGACTTGAGAACATTTTCTTCCCAAGAACAACTTTTGGCTGGCGATTGCAGCTTTGCCAAAGAAGATATCTGAAAGAGAAAATGCAAAATGTTGAAGCAACAGCAGCAATCACCTGCATTCATTTAAAAACCAAGATGGGATCTGGGGATTCAGCTCTGTGGCGTTGCGCTTGCCAGGCAGGCACAAAGTCCTGAATTCAATCCCCAGTATAGGGTGGGGGCTGTAGTGGCAAGATGACTAATTTGCTGTAATGAAAATATAGGAACTCTCCACTCTTAAAATACCTTAGGTGTTTTGTTTTGTTTTGTTTTGTTTTTTGACTGGGTCTCAGTCCAAGCTGTCCTTGTAAGTCGTGAAACTCCTACCACCACCTCCCCAGTGCTAGAAGCACATGCCACCACACCTGGCTGCTACAGTGAACTCTTACCTAGAAAATCTGAGTTAAACATTACAAACATTTACTTATAGAATTCCAGAGAGTACAGTACAATTGTGGAATTAAGTGTTGGGCAATGGCAACCCCTCTCTTAGCCCCCGCTTTCCTATTATTCCGTTTGAATTTCTGAGGGATAAAAATAAAGTTCTATTACTTGTTAAGTCTCCAAGGTATGTAAAATTCATGTGTCTAGCCTTTTTTCAAATGAGTGGTGTAGGAAATGTGAGAGTCCCTCTGTGGGAAGGGAGCATTAGCAGTAACTAGGTTTCTGTGGATAGAAAGTGCTGCAGACACTAGGGGGTGGGGCAGCCTGATCCATATTGAAGAAGTGTACATGTGCAGAAATGAAGTACAGTTAAAGCTGTTGCTGTCGCTGGGTGACAAACACAGAAGTGCTCGTTCTCAGCAGGCAGCAGGGATAAAACAAAGGAAGGAACAAAAGTAAACTTCCATGCCCCCAGAACACCTGTAACCTTCCCAGCAATGGTAATGGCTCCTTTTCTGTACCATTGCTGACCTTCCACCAGCATCTCATTTATTTACACAAGCTCAGCATGCTTCTAAGTGACAGTCAACTGTCAAAGCAGAAGCTCTGTGCCCAAATCAGTCCTGGGGCTGGAAGGCAACTTTTCTTTGGTTCCTCTGCTTACCTGGTTAAACCCCTGCACAAGGGGGCTCCGTGGCTGCCAATGGGTTATTGTCCGGGATGAGGCTGCAGCCAGCCATCATGTCCAAAGAGGCTAGGATAGAATCATAAAGCCGATCTGCGTGGCTTTCCAGTTCACCAGACTGCTTCTCGATCCTCCCAAGGACATCCTTTAAAACTAACAGCGAGGCAAACAGTGATGCTCCTAGGCTTATGCTGCACTGGAGAATCTACATTAACTTCTGATTAAAGCTAAGAAAATTTGCTGGTTCCACTCTGGAATATAAGCACAACAGGGTGCACAGACATAGTTTTCTGGTAACTGGTATCTGACTGAGGAGATAACATGGCATATTCACATCCTTTTTGGGCATAAAGTTTAAAAATGAAATAAAACAGCATGCCTGGATTAGGATGCTGGCCCTGTTACCAGCTCCTATCAACTTCTGTTGGCTGGGAGGACTGACATTTCACACAGATGGTCCGTGAATATATTTGGGAATGCTTGTGAACTGTTCTGTGGGTCCTAAGTGAACAGACTTAAAGGTCTGTTAGCAAGACCAAGCTTCACTCCTGCAGTGTTAGAAAGTTCATGTGAGGAAGGGATGGGCTGGGGTCAGTGGATCACACACAGCAGGGATTTTTCCCCCTTTAAAAAAATGTATTTCTTTTGTTAAACAAAGACTGCTTTAGCTTCCGGTGCTTTTATCAGCTGTGTTAATAAGCTCCCTAGTTTCCTGCTACAGTGCATTGTGTGCCCGCAGAGGGGAAAGAGGAAGCTGCATATCTGCAAATGATGCAAACTAGATGGCGGGAAGGAACACAGGCTGGCTATATTGAGGTCAGCTCTGGGCAGGCCACATCAGTGTGTCATCAGGACAAAGTGCTGTCCTAGCAGAAGAATACAGCTAAGTGACACCTGGCTGTTAAGGGTGGCAGCCTGTGCTCTCTCCTTCAGGCCTTTGTTCAGTCTTATGTATTGCCGGTGGAACTGAGGGGATCTTTTTTTTTTTTTTTTTGTACCAGGGATCCAACTCAGGACCTTGTGCTTGTGAGGCAGGTGCTGTCACCAATGAGCTAAATCCCCAGCCTGAGGGGAAATTTCTGTTTGAACTTACAGATGGTAGAAGCCAAAGAGAAGTCAGGAAGGGGAATAAAATAGAAAAATTTCCCAGTGTGACTGTGATATGTGTTTTCCCCCACTTTGGTATCAGACATTGCACAAGGGCTACTAATGAACTACATTTTTAGCTTATTTTTTATTTTGACATAGGGTCTGAGTTGTCTATGCAGGACTTGAATTTGTGATCCTCTTGCCTCAGCCTCTCTCAGTGCTAGGATTACCGATGTATGCCATTGTACCCAGCTACTTTTGTGTTTTAATTGAGTATAAATATTTAGGGATCTCATGTGGCTTAATGACAGCAGTCATTAACTCATTTTAAGGAACTAGGGTGTTAAGACAGTGGTAAAAATGGAGAGGAAAAATACGGAGGCCTATTTCAGGACTTCCTGGAGGGGGGACATAAACTTTGGCATCACATCCTTAAATTTACACTTGTAGCTAAGTAAGAAAGTGTGCTGCTCTTAGGGGAGATGTGTGTTGGCTCCACTAACCCCAGAAGAAAGTGTAAAGTGTCAAGAGGAACTTGTGATTTTCACAAAACCCCTGAAGTGTTCTGATTATTCCAGACAGGATGGGCTAGGCTGTATACCAATCTGAAAGAGTCTACATACATATGTGAGAACTACAGAAAACTGAAAAGCCTCTACTTCTGGCCAGTAAATTCCCCTAGGTCCCTTGTGAGAGCAGGGCAAAGTGGACTGTTCTTATTACAGGATAGGCACTGAAAAGTATTTCTGAATTGACTTTCAGTGTTTTTTTTTTTTTTTGGTATTGGGGATCAAACTTGGGTCCTTGCGCTTGCACGGTAGGTGGCAGAACCACTGAGCTAAATCCCGACCCTGAATTGACTTTCAAGTAAAGATCAAAACGGTAATGAAGAGACCTACTTTTTATGAGTGGCCTCCATGAAGAGGGTAAGTTCCCGTTTTTGAGTGCTCTTCCTTCCTGCTCAGGCTCCTGCACCTCCAGACAATCTGATAGCTGGAGTTAGCACACAGCAGCTGCCTGAGGGATTTTCACAACTCTGAGGTAAGGATAAAAGCAGTTTCTTCCTTATAGAGTTGTGATTAAATGAAAATAAAAAATGATAATGCCAACTGCTTCAGCTGAAGCTAAGTGTTCAGTAAAATGTTAGTGTAATTACAAGCAGGAAAGGAGCTAGCATACTGAGTTTCTGCCCCAACATAAACCTAAAGATCCTAGTTCAAGAGAACAAGGGAAGAACTAAAACACATACCTTAAGAGGGCAGAGGATTGCAAAGGAATCACATAATTCATAATGGACAGTCACTTCTCTGCTGAAAACACTTCAGTGATCACTGTCCACCCAAACACCTCTGCCTATTTACAGATCTTCCCAGAATCCAAGTGGAATGGTCTGGAAATGCTTTGGGTGGTTGTTAACTTGGAGGTCGCTGAGGCTTCCAGTAGGGGTGCTAACTATTCTGCAGTGCACAGGAAGCCTCCCTACAAAGAATGCTAGAGGCCTATATGGCAGTGGGCAAGTGCTGAGAAACCCCACTCCCCGCATACACTTTGCCCACTGCTCTGTTCAATGAAATGCCTGTCACTGCCTCTTGACCCCTGGGTCCTGCCCAGCTTTGCTTATGTTACCTGATGCCAGTATAAATACCACCTCACTACAGCTGAGGCGTAACAAATGGGCTCTGTAAGTCCTTGCTGGTAGTCTTACACAAAATTAGAGGATGCTTCTGGGGGGCCAGAAGTTCAGTACTTCAACCTAGCACTTTGATCCTTTGTATCATAGCTGCCCCTACAGAGGACAAGGAAGACCATAAATTTTTGGTACTAGACCCACTTAGAAGTACTCTTAATGTTTTTGATTTTCGGTTTCCTAAATTGGGAGTCTACCCTGCAAGATGGGTTTGAACTGGCTTGCATGCCACAATCACCCTGCTCCCTCTTGTCAGTATATGTCATTCTATTCCTTGAGAATAGACTGTTTTCAATTCAGTGTTTTCCTGAAACAAATTCTTGACCAAAGCAGATTTAAAATAAGAGTTCCACCTGAGCTGTGTAAGATGGGAGGGCTGCCTACTGAATACCCCAGCCACAACTGATGGCTGCTGGGTTAAAACCAGAATTCTCAACCAGAATACCATCAGTCAGGGAAACATAAAAGCAAAAGCAAGAGTGCTGCTCTTGCAGGCTTGTTATCTAATTTCTGATAGGCTTAATTTTAGGAGTGTACATATCCCACTATGGGCCTGTAGGGGCAATGATGATGTGAAAACCCACAAACCATCATCATGAAACTCTAAGGCAGTTCATGGCAGTGAGGAAGGGTGTGTTCTTGGAATTCTAGCTCTTTACCAAGCACAGTGTAAGTCCCTGGGCCTGCTGGTGAAAGGACTTAAGAGCTGGCTAAAGAACAAAACCTCAAGCACATAAAAACAGATACAAAGACCAATGAAACAGAATGGAGAACCCAGAAATAAATCTACACATCTAGAGCTGATTTACACACATACACACACACAGGGAGCAAGAACATATAAACAAGTGAAAGTTTCTTCAGTAGATGGTGCTGGGAAAATTGGATATCCATTTGCAGAAGACTTAAACTTGACCCCCCTTCCCTTGCCTTGTATAAAAACCAACACAAAATGGATCAAAGACTTAAATGTAGCTCCTGAAACTGAAACTACTAGAAGAAAATAATGCTGTAGGACATCGGTCTGGGCAAAGATTTTTAAAAATAGGACCCCAAAAGATAAGGTGCAACAAAACTGATAAAGAGAATTAGATCAAACTAGAAAGCTTCTACACAACAAAGAGACAGCCTATAGAAAGGGTAAAATGTATTTGTACTGTTGATTTAACAAGGACAAAGAATTCAGACAAAATTTTTCATGCATTGATGACCTGAATAGAGATTTCTCAAAAGATAGACAAATGACCAAAAATATATGAAAAATGCTTGCTGTAACAAATCATGAGGGAGGGAAATGCAATGAAAATCACAATGAGATGTAATCTCCAGTTAGAACACCTATTATTAAAAAGACAATGATGGTGCACCTGAGTGAAAGGGGAGCACTCAAACACTGTTGTTATTGGGTTTTTTTTTTGGTACTGGGGATCGAACTCGGGTCCTTGTGTTTGCGAGGCAGGAGGCGGAACCACTAAGTTAAATCCCCAGCCTCATACACTGTTAAATTAGTACAGCCATCATGGAAATTCCTCATAAAACTAGAAATAAAACTTCCACGTGATCTGCCAGTTCCACGACTGGGTGTATGTATTTAAAGAAATGTCAAAGACATTTGCAATAGATATCAATCTAGATGTCCAATGATACATGGATTGAAAAACATGGGTTATATACACAGAATATTACTCAGCCATAAAAAGAATGAAATTCATTTGCAACAACATGGATTGAACTGAAGAACATTATGTTAAATGAAATTAACCATGCACAGAGAAGATACACAGTATGTTCTCATGTGGAAGCTAAAAGGTCCATCTTCTAGAAGGGTGCGGAGAGGGAATGGAGAGATGATGATTAATGAGTAAACAATAGGTATGCAGTTGGGACAGTAAAAGGAGTAACCTATTTTTTTTCTTTTTAGGTAGTGCCAAGGAACAAGCACTGGGCCTTGTGCATCCCAATGAGTTTTATCCCTTGACCCATTTCTAATATTTTATAGCACAGAAGGGTAACTATAAGATGACAACAATTAATTATATATCTCAGAACAGATTTGGAATGGCTCATTCCAGTAGATCTGGAATGGTCCCAACATAAATGACAAATGTTTGAACTAATGAATATACCAAGTTACATGATCTGATCATTGCACATTGTACATATGTACTGAAATGCGACACTGCCACCCCACAGATTTGTACACTTATAAAAATAAATAAAATTTTAAAATGAGAGACAAAGTGCCAGAGCATCTCACCTGGGGTATTGTCCAGCAGGCACTGAAGAAGTGTCTCCCCCTTCTCTAGGACACTCTCTGTCAAGGACTGATGCTCATGTATATCTCTCTTAAATTGCTTAAAATGTATTGGGAAAAGAAAAAAGTTTCATTACTATTGTTTTATAAAAGTTGTTCATACAAATGCCAGGCAAGGTAGCTGGAAAATAGACTGCCTAGTTTGCAAAGTATTTTAAGCAGTGACTAGTTTAACTTCAGCTTCTTCGAGTCCAGGGGAAACGGAGTCAGTGGTTTGTTGTTTAGTTTGGCACAAGAGTTTTTTTCCTGGTAAGGCTGGCTTCTGATAGCTTGGAATCAGAGATTCCTTTTTGTACTGCATTTGTGGGGTTTTCTTGCACTTATAAAATTAATGGGATTCCCCAAATAAATTGTACTCTATCTGAGTGGAAGTGCTAGTAAGAACCACAAGCAGTCTGCCACTATGGAAACCCTGGGGAACTGTTGTGTCCACCTTGGTAATTTCTCTCTGCCGACCTCTGGGAACTGCCTCTTTCATCAGGGAAGCAGCTCATCTGTTTTCCCCTCGAGGCTAGTAGGCCTGTGGCTGGCTGTTTGTGATCTTCTTCAGCTGCTGAAAAGTGTAAAGTCAAACTCATGATCTCTAATTTGGGGCAAAACTTGGTTAACATTTTTTTTTCTTTTCATTTTTTGAGACAGGGTCTCACTATGTAGTTGAGACTGACCTGGAACTCACTATGTAGCCCATGCTGGCCTTGAACTCACAGTGATCCTCCTGCCTCAGCCTCCGGAGTGCTGGGGTTACAGGTGTGCGCCACCACGCCCGGCCTTGGTTAACATTTTGAAGTGATAATTTTACTATTGGATTTAGTTTTTTTCTCTCAGTCTTCCTTCACTCTGATACCTATACTTACTCCCTGGTGCCATGTGTAGTTTAGATGCTCCTTTACCCCACCATGTTAAGACAGAGTACAAGTAAGTTACATATTAAAATGTGAATAGACATGTTTACACTAGGTCTTGATATGACAGAAGCCAAGAAGCTCATTCCTAAGCAGGAGCCATGAACTACCGTGTGGAAAGGGGTCAACAATGCAGTCTCACTTTTGACAGTTGTATACAGGCCTAGGACTTGATGACCTGCAGGAGCAACTCCTGCCTCAGATCTCAGCTATATCCACACAGTTAAGACAGCTGCTTCTGGCTGGCCTGGAAGCCAGCACAGAAGGGTGAGGGATGGAGTTAGTCCATTTGTCCCTGTTCTGACAGAGAAGCAAAGGCCACTGAGGTAAGTCTAGCAGGGCAATTCCTCTCCTTACAGAGGTGGCCCTGGAGCTGGGGTGGGTTGGGGTCCCAAGGAGGTGGGGTGTGTGAATGTTCATGTGTGCACGCACATACACATGCACATAAAGAACTCTCAGGCTCAGCTTTCTTTTCTTATGCTCACTCTGGCTGAGGAATTCATGGCAACTGCTCCACTCTGCAGCACACAGCATTCCTTGTAGGGAGGAGCAGCTAAGCCTGTCTGCCCAAGCTCAGGCAAGAGTTCAGCTGGCTCCAAAATGGAAAACAAAGGCCCTTCCTCCAGCTGGGGTGTGGTTCAGTGGGCTGGAATCCGCTCAGCACAGATTGGTGCAGCCGTGGCTCAGGCATTATAAATCACAGCCTCTTCACATAGGGCTGGGTGAGAAACCCAGTAAGTCCCTTCGGATAAGCATCAAGCTCAGACCACAGATACCATCCATGGTCCTTCATGAAGCAGTTAAGAGTGGCTTGGCCAGTTGGACATGCTGGTAATCAGCCAATGTTGACTATATGTTTAGCAGAAACAACTATGATTTATTCTTTGATACACTTAATATGCAGTCATGTTAAATAAAACTCAGGACACTAATTAAATAACAGGACACTAATTAAAAAATGAAAAATTAAATTCAAACTTGAGCCTAAACATTCTGTTTACAACTGCTTCATTGAAATGCCCTGTATACATTCTGGAGTCAGGATAATTTCAACTCAAGATCCTTATATAACTTTCTGTGATGAAGAAGGGTTCTGAACCTGCACTGTTCAGTGTGGCAGCCACTAGCCAGACATAGCAAACTGACAAAAAAAATCTCAATCTTGGGCCAGGGATTTAGTACAGTGGCCACCTGCCTCCCAAGCACAAGGTCATGAGTTTGATCCCCCTACTAAAAAAAAAAAGAAAAAATCTGAATATTTAAATTGCTGCTTGAATAGTGGTTCTACATGTCTATTAATACCAGATATTTGGGAAATTACAATGCAAAACACCCTAAAACTTTTTTCTTTAAATGTTTTGGGGGCTTGGAATTAGGGATCCAAGTTAGGGCTGTGTACAACCCTTAGCCTTTTCTATGGCACTGTGGAGTGAACCCAGGAAGACTAAGCTGTATAACTGTTCACTTTCCATACATTTTGTTAAACTTCCCAGCCTGGCCTCCAACTTATGATCCTGCCTCAGCCTCCCAAACAGCTTAGATTATAGGCATGCACCACCATGCCCAGACCCTGATTTTTTTTTTTGTTTTTCTTGGTATTGGCAATGGAACTCATCAGGACCTTGCACTTGCCAGGCAGGCACAGTGCCAGTAAGCTAAATCTCCACTCCCAGAAGTTTTTGTTTTTTTGGATTCAAAATAAATCTATCCAGGCATGGTGGTGCTTCCGCACTCGGCAAGCTGAGGTTGGAGGATAACTGGGAGCTGGAAGCCAACCTGGGCTACACAGTAAGTTCAAGACCAGACCGAATTTTGTAGTGAGACTCTGTCTTTAAAAAACAAAAGCAGAAACAAAAACAAACAAACAAAAAAAAAATGGAAAAATTTAATGTATATTCTCTAAACTATTTGGCCTGGGAAGTTAACTCAGGCATTTTACAAAGTTTTCAGTGCTTAGAATTTGAAAAAGGTCTCTGATAAACTTCTTGTAAAATAAGCAGTTGAGCTACAACACACCAGGCATCGGTTATTTTATTCTGTTAAGTAATTTTGCCACCACTCTTGTGAATGAACTGCCAGAAGCCAAGAGTGTGCGTTACCCGGTAAAGCTGCAGAGAAGACTTGAGACCTGTAAGACTGGATAGGGGCGGAGTCCCAAGGTCAGTGACATTATACAGCCAGTGGATCAGCTCTTCCAGCTGACAGCAAAACGTCTGCAGAGGCAAACAAAAGAAAACAGAACGTTACTGACAGAACTGCTGTTTACTTATCAAAAGGCTAAAAATATCAGAATGAATCTGTGAGACCACCTCTGTACCTTTCCAGAGCTTTCCCTCAGTCATCAGTTTTCTCCCTCTTCCTGCCTCACCTGTTCTCAGAGGGAGGGCTAGACCTTCTGCCAGGGAAATGAGAAGTTCCATTTATTCTGTCTGCCCTCAACCAAATGTGACCACAAAAATGACAAGCTGAGAAAACAGAGCCTCGTAGGTCAGAGCGGAGCTATAAAAGAAAAGGGACAGGAATAGCCCAGAAGAGGCAGGTCTGCCACAGAAAGCTATTCTTGGATCAATGCAATTACTAAACGTTGCTGTGGGCAAAACAGAATGCAAAATTAGTAACTAAGTCATGACTAACCCGAAGCCATAGCTGAAAACAACTTTAGCTCGTGTATATCAATCCTTTGTCACAAAGAAGGGTATGTTAACATTGGTCCTACAGTTCCAAAGGACAGATAACCCATGTGACTTGTGAGCAGGTTAAATGGACTGTCAGGACACGTTGGTAGTGTGGGCTCTTAGGTGCCAGCAGGGCAGCTACCACCCTACAGTGTGCACTGCTGCAGTGTGGACAGTGCTCACTCCTGCCACTGAGACAATGGGATGCCTGAAGACTGGGGAAGGAAAGCTGAATCTTCACCCTGTGTCAAGCACCAAGTAAAGCTCTGGCAGGAATTATTTAATCCACACAATATCCTGAGGCAGCAGCACTCCACATTTCATAAACAAACATGCAAGACAAAATTCTGGAGGAGGCAGTGCCATGATTCCAATCCAAGTCCTGGCCCTAACATTCCTATTCCATTCAGAATTAACCACATCTCCAGATACTAACAAGTGCACCAAAAAAGAAGGTTCAGTGGCCAAGAAGTTGAGAAAATGGGACATCTGATGCTCCTAACTTTGCAGAGTTACCTGGTGGCAAATGAAGCTCGGAGAAGTCCTGTAGGCAAGACAGCCTGAGTTTGTAAAGCCCAGTATTTCCTAAAGACGTGCACAGCAACCCTTTCTGTGCAGAACACCTCTGAGGTGGGAAGCAGCAGTGAGCGTGGTTGAGAGCTCAGGCTCTACAGACAAGACTGCCTGGCTCGGAGTTCTGGCTGGTTGTAAGTGGGCAACTTACCTTTTTCTTTGAACAGTGAAAGGAGAACAGTACTTACCTGGTAAGCAGTGCGAGACTAAAGACAAGATACAGCAGAGTGCCTGACATATGAAGAGTTGATGGTCAACACCAGGAATTTTACCATGTTTCCCGTCTTTACCTGCACACACTGGACCAATGAGTCTTTCTTCTGTTCTTCTGCTTTCCTGGGAAGATGCCCTTCAGCATCCGGGTCTAAGAAGGGCCACTTGTGCAACACAGATGGCAAGGAGGGGCGTGATTTTAGCAGTTCAGAGGAGACCCTTAGGGCCTGGCTGCTCATCAGACTGTCTTCTGCAGAGTCCTGGGCACACACAAAGTTGTGTAGGTTCTGGCCTTCAGAGGCCCCAGACCTCCGGAAGGCAGCCCCAGAAGGAAGCTGGCTTTGGCCGGAATCTGATGGGAGGGAAGCTGGCCCATTACTGTCCGACACTTCCAAAGAGCTCTGTCCCTCAGCAGCCCCACTGGGCATGATGCCTAGAAATGAAACCAAACTAGAAACCTGTGTCAGCCGAGTGGGCAGAGCAAGATACTCCTCATCACTTTCCACCTCCGCTTCCAATTTCCATCCAGATTCTACACAGGCAGGGCGCAGGACACTCTGGCTCGTCTTCTTCTCCCTCTCTGGCCTGGGCAAGGGCCAACCTCTGTCTCTTGTCCTTACTTGAGGAAAGTCCATTTTGGGGTGCTTGCTCACAGGAGGCCAATGCTTCATGCCCCTCAAAGTGCTCTCTCTACCTTCCCAAGGAGCATCCCCACAGCCTGGGGCTTTAGGCGTTGATGCAAGCTGGCTCCAAGGTGCCAGGCCCATGCTACCCTGCTTCTGGGGTACTCCAGAGGGCCACTGCTTAAAGCCTGGTTCTTTGGGCCCAGAAAATGGTAAGGTGGGGGCCTCTGCTAGTGGGCAATTGGGGAAGACATTAATGGGTGACTTGAGGGTACTTGCTGGGGAGACAGAGAAGCTATCCAGGTCTATACCTGAGTCCTGCAGGACAGGGTCAGCCACCAAGTGGTTGTCAAGTTGCTTTGGAAGTCGAGGTCCAGGCCTCAGTGGGTAAGTATAGTCAAGCAGGTCTTCGTACTCTTTATTTGGGTTCCAGAGTGGGGAGTGGCGATCAGGAGAAGGAGGCAGGGAACTGGGCAACACGCAAGCCCAATACTCAGTCTGGAAGGAGAGGCGCCTCCTGCCCAGGCCAGCAGTGTCACCCCCAGAGGCCACAGGCTGTGAGGACCACTGGAGCCGAGGCCCTGCTGCCCCCACAGTGCGGGGCTCCTGGGGGACAGCCAGCTCTAGGGAGGATGAGACCTTGGCAAGGGAGCCACTCCGAGCCTCTCCCTTCTCTTGATAACCCTGACTGCTGCCCGTGGGGGAGGCAGAGACACTGGGGCTGCAGAGCTGAGGAGCAGCAGTGCCTGTGCTCACCACCGACCTCCACTGTGACGGGAAAGGGGCACCTGAGATGGGAGGCTGATGGCTGAGGCCTGGCACCTGGGGCAACTCAACTGAGGGGGGATCATCTTCAGTATCAGCGCTGTGTCCTGAGCAAAGGGCTGCAGTTCTGGGGGCATTTATAGTTTGAGGTAGCCCCTGAGGGGCAGAAACCTTCATCTCCTCCATCTGCAATTAGAGGGAAGAAAGGTACTTAGGTGTAAATAAGCAAACCCACTTTCTTCTTAGATGATAACCCAGAATTTTGTTGTGGACCCTGAAGATATTTTTCAGGGAAGATCTCAAAATGAAAACTGTGACCTGAGACAAAAATCAGACAAAAGAGCCTCTAATCCTAGTACTTGGGAGGCTGAGGCAGGAGGATCACCATGAGATTGAGACCAGCCTGGCCTACATAGTGAGTTGAAGGCCAGTCTGAACTAGAGAGTGAAACAACCATGTTTCAAAAAACAAGAAAACCCCAATAAAACAAAACAAATCAAGCAAAGGAGGATGTGCTGCTAGTACAGCCCCCCAAAAGCCTGCATCTCGAAGTCTTTCCCAACTGTTTCCCATCCCTGGTCTTTTTTCAAAAGCTCTTCCTCCATGGTATTGTTTGTGAGTAAGCAGAACTAAGACTGTTTTATCATGCTGAAGCTGAAAAACATTGCATAACCCTCGGGCAGCTTGTTCTGGGCAGGTGAAGGCCTTGATCACCGTGACTGACAGAAGATCCAAACCCAGCAGCCCCACCTGGTGCCTGCTCAGCTCCAATGCTGGGGGGAACTGAATGCTGGCAGAATGAGTCACTCATCTCAGCTTCTTCATTCTTAATTTTTAATTGGTTTAAAGAACTCCCACTTCAGGGAGGCAGGACGTCAGAATGGTTAAGGAATGATGGGCTTTGGAACCAGACAGGTCTCATGTCAGCTCCTGCCACCTTCCCCACGAGTCCTACTTCTCTGTCTTTCAGCATGGAGACAGTAACACTGCTGCCTTCTAAAGGTGTAAGGATTTGTGGAACTCACAAGTGCAAAGACACAGTATGAGCCTGACACCAACAGAAGCGTCCACAAAAAGTAGACTCATTCTCATGAAATGGCTCACTTTGTGTGTGGAACTAGGAACTGAAGCCATGGTCTTCACACCGAGCTACATCCCCAATTCCCTTCTGAAATTTTTAAATTTTGAAATAAGGTCTCATTAAATTGCCTAAGCTGGACTCAACCCTGCCTCGGCCTCCCAGAGTGCTGGTATTACAGGTGTGGCCCATGGCGTCCAGTCAAAATGGCTCACTTCAGTGTCTATGGACCTGCTTCCTGAGTGCCAGCACCTCCTAGCACCCCTTGCTTCGAAGCCAAGTGGGGCCTGGCCTCAGTTTCTCCCAGTCATGAGTCTCCTAACTGAATGAGGCTCCACGAGGGAAGCACAGAGCAGCCAAGGCAATGAGGACATAGAGAAGACCAAAGCTGTTTCCAGAAAAGGCTTTGCTAAGCAGAACACGACTGGATGTCTGGACCAGAAGGGACAGATCATTTGGGTCACCATCCATTTACAACAGGGCTTGAAAGACTCAGTGGCTTGCCCACTGTTTCAGAACATGGGGGGATGCGACTCTCACAGGGCAAGCTGCTTTGCAGTTAGGGAGGCCCAAGAGTTCTCCTTAGCCAAGGATAGTGCTGCCCCCTAAAGGGACTTCAAGGCTTTGACAAAGTCCCAAAAGGATTTGTCTCAGTGCCCTCAGGAGCCCACAGCCACATTTTCCAGTCTCCCCAGGGTACCCTTGAAGCCTTCACACCAGCAATGTCAGAAACAGGACAGAGCTGCCCTTGTCAGAGCCCCCTGCCCTAGTCCTCTAGGCAGTCAGCTCTTGGCTATGCCACTGCAGTCCTCAAAAGGTCCCTAGTCATACTTCTGAGGACTAGCAGACACTGATAGAAGACCCTCTTGCTCCTGAGGCCCAGCCCTCCACATGAACCTGTGAAACAGAAATCTTCATACACAAGTGTCCCCAGCTCCCCAGACTGCGCAGCAGCTGGGGAAAGACGTTAAGATGGTGGGGGAAATGCTGGCACATACTCCCAAAGGACAGCACTAGCTCAATCCACAGTTGTTTGCTTTAACACCCACCTGGCTTCCCACAGAGCCCAAAAGGTCTCCAGTCCCTGTGATGGCAGGAGGAAGCAGGCCACCGAGGGCAGGCCTGGTCCCATTCACTACTGCTGCTCTGCTGGCCACACTGGCCTGTGGCAGGTAAATTCCAGAGGTGTTGCTATGGTCAGACCCAGCCCAGAAGGAAGGGGCAGGTAGCCCCTCTGTCCTGAACACAGGGGCAGGCCCTCCCTCAGCTTCCTGGCATGGGGGCTGCTCTGGCTCAGGGCCCTGGGCCACCTTCTCTTGCTCGTCAAGGCTCCACCTCCTGCAGGACTGGGCTTTCGTGCACACAGGTACTTCCAGCTCTGCCTTTTCTTCACCCAGGGCCATCGAGAGGTGCCTAGGTCAGGGCTCCTCTGAAACCTTCAAGCTCCCTACAAGACAGGGAGGAAAGAAGGAAAGGGTTTATCCTCACAAATGCTAGGTCCTGAGTTCAATCCTTGGTACATAAAATATATATATATTCACACACCCCACACACATATATTCTCTACATGTATCCAGGAAACCTTGTTTTTTTTTTTTTTGGTTACTGGGATCAAATTCGGGTCCTTGTGCTTGTAAGGCAGGCACCGGAACCACTGAGCTAAATCCCCGGCCCTAAACCTTGGTTTTTAATGAGTAAGGTATTTTTCCCCCATTGGTCAAAGAAATACAGGCAACAACGGTGACTATACTTCCTCAAGGAAGGTCAAACTTTTCTTCTGCCCTGGACCTTTCCAAAGGGGATGCAAAAGATGCACATAATTTTGTCCTCTGTTTTTATCGTGGTTGGTACCATACCCAACAGCAGGCACTCAGGAGGGTATCATCAAAGGTACACTATTACTGTGCACAAGGCTTTGCTGGCCGGCTGCATGTTCTGTGGCAAGGCAGTGGTACAGAAAGAATTTTTATTACTATAAGCTGCTGATGAAGACAGAACCATCTCATCCTAAAAGGCACCTTTCTGGGAGGCAGATATAGGGGTGGTTTATACAGAGATGGTAGTGACAAACTAGTGGGTGCTTTTTCTCAAATGGAGTCTGTGGCCAAATGACACTCATCTGATCTTAACTGTTTAGTCAAGAGATGCTTTTCAATTTGCAAATCTCAAGAATAAAGATCATGACTTCCTTGGGCTGTTCCTGTCTGATTAGTGTCTCCTTGTGCAGTTCTTGAGGTGACACAATGGGAGGCTAGAGCGGGTAGGCCCTCTTGCAGATCCCTAAATTCACAGTAATGAGGAAACAGCCTTCACCTGATTACTGTGAATGACGACAAGGACAGTGAGGTTAAAGGTCCAAATCAGAGTGAAGGCTTGGATCCTGTCGTCTCCTTTCCCCCATTGGTCCAGGGGAAGAAGCCAGACCTTCCTCCTCACTGGGTGAGAGGCCAACTCCCCGTGCACAATCCTGCAGTGGTTCTGTTGTCATAAGGCCTGTTGGTAAGTGGCTTGGGCCTGGCTCTCATCCTCCTATCCTAGAGTATAGCAAGTCAGGGCACGTCAGACTTCCACTAGGCACAGGAAGGATGCTTTCCATGAGGCGTGCCTCTGCCTGGTAAAAGTGCAGGACCTCTAAGAGCACAGAACCAGAGGCAGTGGAACCAGTGAGGGTTCTTGTTCAGAGACGGCCAGTGAGCAAAGAGAGAGGTCATCTAACCTCCTCTGCAAACGTGGTTTATGCCAATGTCAGCAGCTATATGGAAAACCAGATAGGTAACTGTGGGAGTGGCCCCACAGGGTGAGAAAGGGACAGCAGACTGAGGCAGGCAGGGGAGGAAGCAGAAGATGAACACTCAGGCAAGAAGGGAAAGAACTGGAGTGGGATCTGTAAAGAGAAGAGTTCTGGGACAGCAGAGGGAGAACACCTTTGGCCCTAGAGGGTTCCTGCTGGGCATGATGGGAGAGGGCTGAATTGAAAAGCCAGAGGAGGAAGACCAACTCCAGGAGGGCTTAGAAGGGAAGGGGAGGTAACAGTGAGCTCAGGATGTTAGCAGCCACCTGCAGTGCACTTGAGCCAACCTCAAAGCTCAACCATGGACAGAAATAGCCTTGTTTCCTTAGAGATGGAGGAGAAGCATGGGAGAGGCATGTTGGTGGCAGCAGGGGAGCCTTCCAGGGTGCTCATCCTGCTTGGCTTGTATGCCAGGAAATACACGCTGGGTGGGCACTGTACATACCCCAAGACCCCTGACACTGCTTTGTGCTGGAAGAGTCCTACCCTGTGCTGCCTGGACACATAGGACTCCAGACCATTTCAGAGGTGAGCAGAGCAAGCACTTGCCATGTTCTTTCTTTCTTTTTCTTTTCTTTTCTTTTCTTTTTTTTTTTTTTTTTTTTTTTTTTTTTTTTTTTTTTTTTTTT